ATGGGATTATCAGGCTGCTCTGCACCTTCCCTGTCTGTCAGTTCTTCTGCAGAACAGTTCCAAAGTCACAAAGGAGGAGCAGCCCACTGTTCCAGAGAAGGCCATCTGAAATAGAGGGAGACCCTGAAGTCCCTGTTCAGAAATCTTGAATCGAGTATGTTGGGTGGTATCTGTAGTGATTCCAAAGAGTGTCACCAAATTATCTCATTTAAATTAATTTTAATTTATTATTAATAAAAAATATCAAAAAGCATATAGTAGCAGTGTCTCATAGAGCTAAACATTGTAGAGTGACTCTGGAAACCTGGAAGTCAGAAACCTTGCCTGATTTAAATCCAGTAAAACACAAACCCACAGCTGGATGGTTCCCTGGGCCCCACAGGAGCCTCCCAGCTCTTGGGTTCACATAGGGAGACAGCTGGCAGCATCAGTAGGTCATACTCTGACTTCCTCTGCCTGGAAATCTGCTCCTTTATCTCAGCTGGGGATTTCAGCTATTCCTGATAACAGCGATTTCCATCTGAGCCTGTGGTGAAAAATAAACTTTTCTGAACCATTAAAATTCATAAAGCTGTTAACAGTTAAGATGTAAAAAGCTCTTGAGATGTCTGTGGGCATGTGATTGTTGTCTGTTTATTCTGAAAACAATCATACCTGTGGCAAAAATTCGATATGCTTATAAAATTGAACCTCTCGTGACTTAGTGCCACAGAGGTAAGAATAAAATGAGATAGCAGTGAGGAAAGTGCTAGCTTGAAGATGATGCCATCACTACCATCTTCTCTTACAGCTCTTCAGGGAAAACGTATGAAAGAATATTTAAGATAACATTCTTTGAGTTTCAAAAATTGAGGGTAGGAGTTACAGCATAAAAATTTATATATCAGATAGAAATCTAGACAAAAAACCAGACCAGAATTTTTTGGTCAGTGTGGGTTTCTTGTTCACCCTAAACATTCCAGGACAACCAAATCGGTCTCCAAACCATCAGTTCACTATTTAAGGAAGAGCAAATGCTGAGAAGCTCCTCCAAATGAAGCTCAATCAAAAGATTCCGCAGCAGCTCCCCACCAGCATCCAGAAGAGATATAGGCTCAGAGTGAGATGTGGGCTAAGATGGCAACAGGCGCTCTCTCATGAGGTCAGCTAGTACTCAAAATGGGAACCTAATGTTTCCAGATATTAAGATTCCAGAATTTGGGATTTTTGTATAAGATCTCATGATTTTTAACGTTGGTATATAAAAATAAAAATCCATCATGTAGGCCAAACCAACCATGACTATGGGCTGGATTTGACCTGCTGGCCACCAGCCTGCACCTCAGATAGACAGATAAGTTTCACAAATGTTTGTTGAGGCCTATCTTATGCCAGGCTTAGTGCTAGATGCAATGGACAAAGAGGCAAGGAGAATGCTGTGTGTAATCCTGTGAACTTGGCAGCCCAGAGGAAAAGACTGATCTGTAAGGCGATTATTTGAATGGACTGTGGAGAGTGATCTTGGTGACAGCTAACCTTCCTGCAGCCTGAGATTGTCATGGAAGGTCTTTTGCAGGTAATGACACGGGCGGAGTTGAGTCTTGAACCTCAGACGAATCTTGAGCAGTTAACCAGTTGACAAAGGGAGATGAGGCAGAGATAGGATATGCCAGGAAAAGGTCACAGCAAGAACTGAGGATATGCAGTCTGGCCTGTGTAGATACTGACACAAAGCTCAATGTGTGACACACGTGAGGCCAGGGATGGGTGGACCACTGATATGGTTTGATATTTGTTCCTCCAAATATCATGTTAAAATTTGATCCCCAATGTTGGAGGTGAGGCCCAGTGGGAGGCATATGGGTCGTGGGGGCAGATATCTCATGAAGGGCTTTGTGCCATCCTAGCAGTAATGACTGAATTCTCACTCTATGTATATATGTATGTATGTCTGATGAAGTCTTGCTGTGTCACCCCAGACTGGAGTGCAGTAGTGTGATCTCAGCTCACTGAAACCTACACCTCCTGGGTTCAACTGATTCTCCTGCCTCAACCTCCTGAATAGCTGGGACTACAGGCATGCACCACCATGACCAGCTAATTTTTTGTATATTTTTTAGTAGAGATGGAGTTTCATCATGTTGGCCAGGCTGGTCTTGAACTCCTCCCCTCAAGTGATCTGTCTGCCTCAGCCTCCCAAAGTGCTGGGGTTACAGGCATAAGCCATCACACCTAGTTTCTCACTCTATTTAGTTCTTGCAAGGCCTAGTTGTTTAAAAGAACTTGGCATCTCCCCTACTTTCTCTCTCTCCGTGTGATGCCAGCTCCCCTTTTCCTATGACTGGAATCTTCCTGAGGTGTTTACTAGAAGCAAATGCTTGTGCCATGCTTCCTGTGCAACCTGCACATGAGAAATAAAACTCTTTTCTTTATAAACTATCCAGCCTCAGATATTCCTTTATAGTAATGCAAAACAGATTAACACAACCATGGAGAACTTTGACGTATCAACTTGTTTGGGCTTTATCTCAAGCAATGGGAAGCCCGTGGAATGCTTTAAGCAGGGAAGAGATGGGGTAAGACTGGTGTTTATCCTTTCTGCAGTTGAATACAGCATACATCAAAAAAGGAAGAAAACTGACAGTGAAGAGAATACTCAGCAAGCTAGGGCAGTAAAACTGGCAAGAGATGGTCAGGGCATGAGCTAGGGTTGGAAAGAAAAATGGGAATTTAATAACTATTTAGGAACTTAAATTAGCAAGACTGGATGATGAAGATGAAGGGGGCCGAGTCAAAGGTGACTCTAAGGTTCTAGACCCAATGATGGGTTGGTGGTGGTTAGGGAGACCCTCTCCGTGTGTCTGGATTGTGACAGTGTCAAGACTGAAAGTCCCACATCCTCAGAAGCCCTTCTGTCCTGGGAAAATAAGGGTGGTTGGTCACTCTTGTGATGGTTTTCCAACTAACATGAGGCATAGTAGAAGAAGCTGTAAGTTTGGGCTGTTGGGGAGATAATAAGTTTGCTTTGGAGCATTTGACTTTAAGGTACCAGCGGGCATCTAATTTAGGATATCAAGCAGGCACTTGGAATGAGTCTATAGCTCAAGAACAGGAGGACTTTGACTTGGAGAGAGTATATTTGGGAACCATCAGCATAAACAGCAGTGGGTTAAATCACCCAAGGTGTAGCATGAAAAGGGAAGTGAATCTAGAATAGAAAGCTGGAGAATGAAACATTGGAAACTTCCATGTTTAAGGAGCATATCTAGAAAGAAGGGCCACAGGAAGAGGCTGAGACGAACAGTCAGAGTGTAAGAAGGCAAGGCTGAAGGCGGGGTCGTAGAAGGCATATGAGTAGAGGGTCTCAAGGCATGCGCAGTCATCAGGGTCAAAGGCAAGGAAGATGTGCAGCACCTTGAGGAGTGAAGACGAAGTCTCATCATAGGTAATCTTTGCAGAAACCCTCTCAGTGGTTTGACTGTGGGAGCAAGGTTGCTTCCAGGGAGAACAGAATGTGACTTGAGAAAATGGAGACAGTGAGTTCAGTCTAATCATCAGAAAAGCTTGAGGAAAAGGGAACAGGAGAGAGAAAGCCATAACCAGATGACCATGTAAGGTTAAGGGGCAGTAATTTAAGATGGGTGAGAACTGAATAAGCTTATAAACTGACAGGAAAAGCTGGTAAAAGAAAGAATTAAAGATCCAGTGTCCAAGAGAGGTGATTAATGCATCAGGGACCCTGGGGAGATAAAATGACATGAGATGGATTCAAAACCAGAGAGGAGGATCTTGGCTTTGGGTCAGGGGCTGGCAGGGAAGACCCAACATACTCTGGGACTATGGGAGGGAGGACGGGTTAGGGTGACATAGGGGAAGGAACTGTAACTTTGTTCTCAAACGGGAAGCTGTGAAGCACAGAGCTGTGGTAATTGTCAGGCAGAGCAGAGTGAGAAATGAGGAGGTATTGATGGAAATAATGGGCATAAAGACACCCTCAGCTGCTCCTTTTAAGAAGGATGACAATAGTCCAAGATTCAGAGTACTTTAAGGTACACTGCATATACAGTGTTTGGAAAACTTTAGTAAATATATATTGTAGAAGTGACTGAATACATGCTGTTTGAAGGGATTATCAAATTATTCTCTTCAGAATTGAAGGATCTAAGTTATCAGCTTTGTCTCACACATGCATGCACACGTACGTACAAGTGTGCACACATGGACACACTCACCCCTTATATGTAAACAGGCACAATCTGCTCAGACTCCGAAATAGGCATTAAAATACTAAAAGTATTGTTTCTAGACACAGTTAGGCAGAAGAGAAGTTTTTGCTAGGTGGGAGACTGGTGTATAAATACAGAAAGGCAACATCAAGCAATTTTTTTCCAATTAAAGTTGTATACTCAGTTAGGTTGAGTTTAGAAATCACAAAGGAGCCATTCAAAGCCCACTCAATACACAGGCTTTAAGAGGAAATTACCAAAGGCAATGAAGCAGGGCTCTGCTCCGCGCCAGTCGGCGGGTGAGGCCACAACAGCATGATACCTACCAGAGAGAGACGATGCCCTGCCAGAAGCCAGCAGGGAGGCCTCCACACGCTGCCTCCATGAGTCACCCATTGATCACAGCCTAATGCCTCCCTTGGCACAGGGAAATGCCATGGCATTTCATTAGCTCTGCTTATTTTGGTCAACAGCTAGGAGCGGAGACACGTACACGATGCTTTCCAGGGTATGTACTTTACCTTCTGGCTTTTTAAATGTTTTTAACATAACTTTGTTCTGGCATAAAAGCAATAGATGTCCTTTGTAGACATTTCGGTAAATGCAGAAAAAATAGAACAAAGACAAATTACCACTTCGGTGTGAACCACGGTTAACATTTTGATGCGTTTCCTTCTTGCCTTCCCTATGGTGGATTTCAGGATGAAGAGAACTGAGCTCTTTCTTTCTGAGAAGAGCAGATAATTCTAGGAAAGGAAAAATTTCCTAGTGGATGAACCAAAATATCTGGATTCTAATCCCAGCCCCACCACTGTTTAGCCTATGGGTTTGGCAGTTGCCAACCTTCCTGAGGCTGCTTTCTGGTTTATGAGATGTTGGAATCTACTCCAACCTCTAGTGCCTGTTACAGCACTCGGGTGTCACAGGCCTGTGATATTCTGCCTCCCCAGAAAGATGTGCTTTTGGTCACGAATTCTTCCAGAGCAGTTATAGCTCTCACTCCAAAACCCAGAGTCTTTGGAGCTGTGACTGCAGGACTGCAAAGGAAGGATTTTAGAATGATGTGATTACTCTCCATTCCTTTTGTTAGACCCTAGATATTTTTTTTTTTAATGAATGCACTGAATGAGGGTGCATTTCACTGCAGAGCATGTGTCAGAGAATCTAATGGCACAGGATTTATGATCATCCCATGAACTGTGTAAAGCCAGTAGTTTGGTTCATTCTAGCTAATAATTAAGTTTAAAGAATCAGGAGGTTTTAAAACCCTGTTAAATAAACCTGGCTCAGAATTTCCCAAACTGTGTTCTCAGGGCAAATAGGTAGTCAGTTGAGAGAGAGAGAGAGCGAGACAGAAAAAGAGAGAAAGAGAGGCAGTGAGCAGTCATCAAGGAAATGTAGAAAAGATTAGGTTAAATCAAGTATAACAAGTGTCTTTGCTATGCGACTTCTTAGGACATTAAATATACTTAAATGTACTGGGAATATCAAGGAAGATATAGATTATGCCTCCTAAGCTAACCTGATTATGGAACTATTTTGTCAAGGCGTGCTCATTCACATCCCAAGAATTCAATGCTCCATAGAACACAGTTTGAGCAATACTGTTCTAGCTCCTTCTAGTAGTTCCCAAGGAAGTGGTTTTCTTAAGTCACCGGTATGGATCTTTCAATAACCATCCCTGACTGCTCTTATCATTGTGGTGGTATCTTGAACTAAGTCTTTAAAGTCTATAACCTTCTTGACCTTGGATACTACATTTTATGAGTTTTGTAAATTCTTGCATTTGTTGGGCAGTTTTTATTAACTTAAATATATATTTATCAGTGTTAACCTATTCCTGACACTGTAGCAGTATTTTTAGCCCTGAGTTTTGCCATTATCAATCTGTGTGATCTTGGATGAGTCTTTTAACTTCTTTCGGGAGAGTCAGGTGACTTGGGCTAGGGTCTGGGAGCAGGGGAACACTGGGCAGAGAACAGCTTCAAGCTCAGGGTTAATAGTCGTAGGATTTAGGAGATTTAGAAGAAAAGGTCTGGGAATGAGAGGAGACAGCATAGAATCCTCGTGTTGAGAGGCTGTAAAGGGAGAATTGGAGCTCACCATTGCTGAGGGCAGGCCTCCTTCTAAGAGCCAGATAGATGAAAAATGTGGGAAGGTGAAGTTCAAGGTCAGCAGAGGCCTAGTCTTCAGGTGGAATATTAAGGATTAAAATTCAGGAGAAGATCTTGGTCCTGTGCCTGTTCTCCCTGTTATTTTCAGGCAGTGGGTGGGCTGGGCCTGCAGGATCCAAGGAGAGGAGCCATTCCTGGCATCCGGACGTGGATAAAGTCTTAGGAAGCACTGGGCTTGAAGGGGGCTCTGGGTGGGTGTTTGTTTCTGGCTGAATCACCATCCTGTGGGAATCTTTCTTTATAGATTGCATCAGCCATTCTTAGATAAGGCCTAAGTCCAGCTAACATGGAATAATCTACTATTAACGTGATATGCTTAACAACAAAAATCGTTATCGAAAGCATCTTTATCAAGTCTTGACATGTGTCCCAGGTGGTAGAAAAGGAGGGTTCCATGTGAAAATAAAATCACTCTTTCTTGCCCTCCAGCCTGTCTTCCTGTCTTGTTGTCTCCTTTCTGCCTTTGACTATGATCTCACCTCCCACTTTGCTTTCTTTTCTTTTCTTTTCCTTTTTTTTTTTTTTTTGAGACAGAGTCTTGCTCTGTCTCCCAGGCTGGGAGGGCAATGGCGTGATCTCGGCTCACTGCAACCTCTGCTTCCCAGGTTCAAGCGATTCTCACGTCTCATCCTCCTGAGTAGCTGGGATTACAGGCATGCACCAACATACCCAGCTAGTTTTTGTATTTTTAGTAGAGACAGGGTTTCTCCTTGTTGGCCAGCCTGGTCTTAAACTCCTGACCTCGAGTGATCCACCCGTGTTGGCCTCCTAAAGAGTTGGAATTACAGGTGTGAGACACTGTGCCCAGCCACCTCCTACTTTACTAATTCTGGAAAGAAATGTGTGCTGTTTACCAGGAATCTTGATGCAGTTTTGTCTCATTTTTGTTGTTGTCCAGACTTTTTAATTGATCTTACCCACTAAAATAACCAGACTCCCTGATTTGGGCTCCTGAAGCCCCCTCCTTCTCTTTTTTCCTTCCTCCGATATCTGAAGACCCCTCGTGTGTAGGGTGCTGAGGCACAGGATGAGCAAGGCGTATATGATCTCTGACTTCAGTGCCAGACTCCCTAACTCTTGATAACTCAGAGTCCCGAAGTCCTGCACGGCCTGTGCCCTGGGGAGACAAATGCCCTTGAACTCCAGCCTTCCTGCCTGCCTGCCTTGATTCAGTTTGCCTCATCCTTCCTTCTTTATTTCACTCCTGACTCTGCTCCGGATCTTCTACCTTAAGGTACCTGCTTCTTCTGCCCTTCCTCACCTGGCTCCCTCCTCCCTCCGCCTCCTGCCTGTTCTCGCTGACCTCACCCTCTATGCAGGCTGCCTCTGTTCTGGAGCTCCATCCCCATCCTGCTCTCTCTGGCCTAGCTGGGCCTCTGCTCATCCCACTGCCTTGCTGCATGAGGGCCTATGACTGGGCCTCATTCCTGGCAGGGGGGAACAGCCTGTTGAAGGGGATGTTCATCAGGCCTTCTGTTCTACTCCAGAGTGGCACAATGATCAAGGGGCTGGCTTTATCAGAGGAAGTCAATTCCCAGATATCCATGAGTTGAGGTACAAATTAGCTTTGCTGATTCCAAGTTATAAGAAAAATATCTGAACCAAGGGGTCAAAATGTCTCAATTATAAAACATCTGCAAATAAACTTTATGTAATTCCAAGTTATGAGAGTATAAAATACTAAAAATATAGTAGAAATAGAGAAAAAGTCTGGACCAGGGGTCCAGAGAGCTGACTTTCTAGGCTTGGCGCTGTCCCTGACAAGCTGTGTGACCTGAGACAATCACTTCACCTCTCCAGGCTGACGTTCTCTAGTATGTCTCCCTAACAGGAAGAGACCTATTCAGATAATTTATCATGTTTCTCCACTTTGTAATAGCAGTTGCCTGCAAGAACTGCAAAAGTGAACTAAGTAAGCTCCTTTGGAATCATCACAAATAGAAAAGTAATCATGCCACTATTTGAATGTTTACAATAATAGTAAAACTTATCAATAGAACTGCCGTATGATTTGGCAATCGCAGCAATGTTGGATATATATATGTATCTCTCTGTATATAATATATATGTAACATATAGTAATATGTATCATATATATAGGAGACATATATATATATGTGTGTGTTTCCAAAAATGAAATCAGTATATCGAAGAGACATTTCCACTCCCATATTTATGCAGCAGTACTCACAATAGCCAAGATATGGAGTCAACCTAAGTGTCCATCAATGGAAAATGGATAAAGAAAATGTGGCGTGTATACACAATGGAGTGCTACTGAGCCAGAGAAAGGATGAAATTCTGTCCTTTGCAGAAACATGGATGACCCTGGAGGATATTGTGTAAAATAAGCCAGGCATCAAAAGGTGAATATTGCATGTTCACAGTGATGTATGGAATCTTAAAAAGTTGATCTCACGGAAGTCTAGAGTAGAATGGTGGTTACTAGAGGCTAAGGAGGGGAAGAGAGAGGGAAGTGAGGAAAGATTGGCCCACGGGCAAAAGGTTACAGTTAGGTAGGAGGAGTATAATCTAGTGCACAGTAGGGTGACTGTGATTAACAATTTTGTATCGTATATGTCCACATAGCCAGAAGAGAGAATTTAGAATGTTCTCACCACAAAGAAATAATAAATATATGAGAGATGGATATGCTAAATCCCCGAATTCGATTATTACACAATGTAAACGTGTATCCAGGCATCACAGTGTACCCCATCTACATGTACAATTATTGTGTCAGTTAAAAACAAAATTAAAAAGAGAATTGAAAATGTAGAGAGACAATAACAAATAAAAGCTGGAAATCATCAAGTATATGATGACTAAAATATAAAAACAAAAACAGACAGAAAACGAACCAATGACAGAAGGGCGGGTGCTGTGGTTGCTGAAGCATTTTTAATAAAAAGCAGATCTGGGAAGCTACAAGTCCCTGTGATTTCAGGTCCTTGTTTTGTAACCTTATTTTCCATTTGAAGCTAATGATGTGGCAAAGAGTCAGAGAAATGTCCCCCACTTTCTATCCTGCAAATGGTCCTCCTGAACATCCACCATTCCTAAATATTATATGTGAGCTGTGCTTTCTAAGATGCCCCAGTTATACAGGTGTTCGGTGTTGGTTACAGGTATCAGAAACTGAGCAGGTCACATCATAGCACTTTGCTATAATTGGGAGAAGGGTCTAATCAATAGGTCAGAGAACATTCTTTATGGAGACTTTCAGCAGAGCAAAATGATTGGCTTATGAAAAGCACATTGCATGGAGCACCTTGAGAGAGTATGTGTTAGGAGGCTGAGACGGTGTGTTTTCATCTTTGCATTCCTAGCACCTACTGCACGAATGTCTTAACATGGAATGGATGTTTACCAATGCGGAACACGTGGACAAAATCTTTAATAGTCAATTCTGGTAGTAGAAGAGGAGCTTGAGGGTTCTACTTGTGCCTGCTGTGCGATCAGCTTGGTTTCTGACACGATTGTTTGCTTATTAACCTTTTTAAGGTGCTTTGGAATGTGGACCAGATAAAGGATGTAAAAAACAGACTTGCATTCCATATGAATAACGTGACTCCTTTGTTTCCAGAATTCACTGGTTCACTCTTTGGCCTATGTGGCTTTGTATGTTGTCATTTTTAATGATTTTTGAAGAGCAGAAGACAGTTGTGTTGATATGATATGAGAGATCAATACCAGTCATTGACTGTCCCTTTTTCTTGCATGTCCCCTTTCCCATCTCCTCTCACTCCTACCCCGATCTCTTATCAGTCCAGGGAAATGTTTGCTCAATGACTGATTAGATTTTCACAGTAAATTGCATTTTTGGGAGATGATCCTGATAGTGTGTTCACAACTTCCCTGGAAGGTTTTGAGATTATGTATCTTATCTTCAAGCTGTTCAGTGTCTTTAGTCTATGCT